ATTGTGATTTGTGACTATGTGATTTGGGAATTTATTATTTATGTTTAGAAATTTAGGGTTAAAAAAATTCTGTTCATATTTTAGGATTTGGGTAATTTTGATTTCTGGGACTAATAAGAGTAGTGGGTTTAGATCATAAAGGAACTTTTGGTTTGGGGATTGCTTCTAGCTCTTTTGATATTTGATATCTAGGAATACTTGGAGTATTTTTAGCTTTTATGGGAATTTTTGCCTTAGTTAGTGATCTTGGAATGCTTTAACTTTGGTTAATTTTATGAATTCTAGCAAAACGTCACACAAGGAAATGCTGGTAACTGGTTCCTATTACATCCTTGGAGTTTTTCCTTCTTCTTCTTCTTCTTTTTTTCTTTTTTTTTCATGTTTGGGTGAATATTAATTAATTAAATATTAATGACAACATCTTTATTATGATCGTTGATTGTCGACGGTCAACGATCAACAAGGTCCACCTTAACTGAACTTTAACCCTAGATTCGCCGCTGAGTGTTCTTGTGGACATCGAGTTGAATTGTCTGGTGAAGTATTGCACAGGGAATGGTGGCAATGGTACACTAGAGCGTAGACAGATTTTAAACTGGTAGTGCTGTCTAGGAGATGGGAAATATAAACCTAACAGCGATGCAGCAATACAAGCAGAATCGATGGTGATTGGTTTGAGAGTTGTAATTTGAGATCACCCAGGTTTTGTTCAAGCATCGTGCTTCAAGTTTGTAGTTGGTTGACTTTCTAGTTTCTACAGAAGATGTAAAAACCAAATTGAAAGGACCATGCTCTTGTACATCAAGTAGTACATAATGGACACCCGGTATCATTTCATTGGAGAGAGTACCGGTCCCACAAGCACTTCCTCCAATAGGAAGGTGTCGGGTGTCCATTATGGACACCCTTATATACACTTTGATGTACATCTATCATTATCTAAATTGAAATAACATAAAGTGACTATTTGAATTGTACAGAGTTTAAATTATGATTAAATTTTGCATCGAATGCTTTCATTTTATTAGATTTGTTACATTTTTTAATGAATTCGGTTGTGACGTGTCGTTTTATTCCTCGTAAGGAAAATAGAATATCCGACGAACTCATTTCTTCTGCTATTTCATACTCGATTGCAAGGGCGAATGAAGAAGCTTAAAGTTAGGAGGTACAATCGAACTTACAAAAAAATTGGGAGTTACAATCGAAAATTTACATCTAAAAAAATCATGCTCCATATAATTTTGCATCCAAAAATTTACATGGGATATGACTTTTTCAGATATAAAATTTCGAAAAAAATTTATGTCATA